TAGAACAATACTATAACTTCCTCAACCCTTAGTTATAGCTTTGGTTTAGATTTTAAGAATTTAGAATTTAAATACATATCCTGACAAATTAATAGTCATGCAATACCAGTGAGTTCTGACAATGAATGCCTGAATATTATCTTGGCAGGGCAGACAAACTAGAAGATGTGAGACATTTATCCACACTAGTGAAGCAATTAATAGCTCCAGGTTGTAGCCTCTAATGAGCATCATTTTGAAATGGACATACAGGCTGGAAGAGGAGACGAACTGTTCCTACTGTATGTTTTGGCTCTAGTGCCAGTGTCAGCTTGACATTGGTCCTCCAGCTCCAGCAGCACAGTGTTTTGTGATGGCTTCTGGGAGGGACGTCAGCTTTGCTGTCACAGTCTATACAGGTGTCTGGCAGCCAGACCTGCAACAGTCCTGCAGCCGGCCCTGAGCCATCAATGTTGTGTACACACTGTGCCTGGGTGTATGGCTTTACAGGACAACTTTTTTGTTTCGTTTAACCACGGGCTTGAATTCGTCTCCTGCTGTGGAGATGGCATCATCTACAGACTGTCCCCTGCCATTATGAGACACATTATGAGATTATGATTGTACCAAATGACCCCAACACATTTCTGTTATGTGGGGAGGACGACAAGATGTGATGGTTTGACCTTCACACAACAACGAGCTGCAATAAAAAGACTCTTCCCCCCTTGTTTACACACCCCAGCCTGTCGAAGTAGAAGCTTTCTTCTGTTAAAGGGAGTTTTGTTCAAGGGCCATTTGATTTTTTTTTCCTCTTTAATACCTTAAGGCCTTGACCTTGCTGTATACTTTAAAGTAGTTCTGATATAGCTCAATATAAATCAAACTGAATTGAATTAAATTGAAACTGCATTTGCATCTCAGTCCGGGTCTCATGCTTTAGTCCTTCAGTCATGGACAGTATTATTTATTTTATCCAACAAGCCTTTTTGTCTAATGCGTTTGGGCACTGGGGGAAAATAACTGTTGCTGAAGATGCATTGTGCTCACACACATTTGTTTTAACATAACTCCAGAGCTTAAAAAAACAAGAAGTTCTCCGTGTGCGGGTACGATGGAGGGGTGAGACGCCATGTGCTGACTGCTGCCAGAAAGATGCCATGATGAACTGCCACTGACTGTGGACTGGTGCTTTAACAACCATTCAGCCCCAGTTTATTCCTCCAAACCCACAGAAGCAGACTCCCAAATAAGATAAGACAACTGCGGCTATTCAAATTAGAGTGCTGGCATTAACGTCTGTGTCAGTCATACACCTGCTGTGTGTTGAGTCCCATTTGTAACAGGGATAGTGAGCTTAGTGTTTAACAGCAGGAGTAGTGACTGTAGCCTGGTGAAGACAGGGAAATGGTGTGGGGAGCTGGGCTTATTGAACTTTGTCACAGAGTTGATGAGCGTGCAGCTAGGCAAGCCACGGGCTATACAAATCACTCGCAGGACACTCATGCAGGATGTTGGCAAAGAAATGGAAAGCCTGTGCTTTTCTGGAGCAGCTTCTCAAGCAAAAACAGCCGCTATAGTCACCTCCATGACTTCATACTTTGTCTGCCCACACATTTGTTTTCTGGGTCACAGCATTTTTAGGAAAAAAAAAAATCACCACAGTCCTCACCTAGTGGCCCCAGAGTCCAGTCTGATCCTTTTTGGCATTTTTCAACCTCCCAGTTCACAGTTCAGCTTTAAAAAAAAAAAAAAAAACCTTCCTGCACCATTCAATACAAAGCACATTTCTGTTCATGTTCAGCTCCACACATTTCACTTAATGTTGCCTTACAAAATAACTGTCACATATAATCCCCCTGTGACACAGTTTGAATGATTGGACGCAGTTTCCAGAGGAATGAAAATTATTCAAGGAATGAAAATTATTCAAAGAATGCTTTTTAAAAGAACCCTACTGTTTGACTTTTCAGTACATAACAATCAAAGGCGTTATGACATTGGGTGTCATTATCTAAAAATAGAAATATTGTCACATCGTAACAGTTAGACCTGTGAAAATTTCGTTATGCCTCAGTGAAGCAGAGGCAGCTCATATGATCTTTATGTGTGATGTTCAGCAGAGTGTGCATGATTCCCAACCCCCGAGTGATGTGGAAGAGAAATGATCATCTAGCATCTTGTACATCTGGTGGTGCTGATGTTATAATCTGCCTTTGGACAATCTGAAGTAGCCAGAATTGTATATCTGGGGTCCGAAGACGTTTACAAACATAACACATTTTCTATAAATCTTATTCATTTATTCTCTCAGACTGATGAATTCTTCACTTAATAAAAGGCCCCCCCATCTACAGGATATGAGCATGTCTTTTCCTCTAACTGAGCGAGATTTTGCTCCATACCTGCTAAGAGTCAGGCAGTTCATACCACAGTCTTCTTGAACGTGCTTCCTGTCATGTTCCTGTTCTACCTGCTATTCTCTGTCAGGTTCTGCCACACATACATTCTTCCCAAGACTAGAGACAACCAGACAAGTAGATAATGTTTTAGTGAATCCTAATCAAGAAAAATGCATTATTAATATGTATAGCAGCAGGTTGTCTGTGTGTCTTTGTGCTTACATGCTTGTGAATGTGTTGGTGTGTTGGAGCTATGTTTAATGCATGTGCTCACATGCAAACATACAGTATTCATTGTTCATATACATGTTCAGCAAATTGCATCCGTGTTGTATTTGCCTAATGAAGGAATTAGGATTAAAATGTAGTTTAGGGCCTAAAGCTACAACATGCTGGAGAAATAAACAACTTGTCTCATCTAATTTGCAAATCTTGTAAAGTGCTTTGAAATCCCTTTGATTTAGGAACTCTCTGCTCTGCGATGTAAATCAGCCGCTGAATAAATGACTTCATGGCTCCATTAATATGAACACGCATGTCAAGCTTGCCTGCAGTCTGATGTCTGCAGATCTGGGACAAACTAGACTCTTTCTTCAGATAGACAGGCTGAGGTAGGCTGAGATGGGATTGTGTGGTTGCAGCAACACATGCTTAAATTCCCAAAGCATTATTAGATAGAATGGTTATAATACAACATGACAGTGCATTTCTTCAGATTCACGCCATGTTTAAGGAAGAGCTTTGCTATGTTAGAGGTGCTTCCTTCTTGCACAAAATACCCTTTTTGCAGGTGTTGCATTTGGCTGTGTTATTATCTTTTTAGTGAAGTCATGCCATAGCTGTGCTGTGTTTTCTGCAGTCAGCCGGGGCCCAGGATGTAAACAGAAGCATCTCTTCACATGCTTTGTTGACAAATTTAGAACTGGTTCCAACTTGGAACCGGTTCTTGGTATCGAACCTTAACTCAAGCCCAATCATGGGAATATATCCCAACTGATGTTGCACATGGATACATCAGCAGG